ATTGTTGGGTTGGTTACTTCCCTCCGTTTTCCCTCCCACCCACCCCTTGCATGCATTCCTTTTCGGTACAGTGCCACGTCAGCAGTGCCACGTCAGCAGTGCCACGTCATAGTGCCAAGTCACGGTGCCACGTCAGCAGTGCCACATCACACGTCAGATCAGCAGTGCCACGTCAGCAGTGCCACATCAGCAGTGCCACGTCAGCAGTGCCAAGTCACATTGCCACGTCAGACATAGTGCCACGACAACAGTGCCACGTCAGACACAGTGCCACGTCAGCAGTGATGTCTGACACAGTGCCACGTCAGCAGTGCCACGTCAACAGTACCACGTCAGACACAGTGCCACGTCAGCAGTGCCACATCAGCAGTGCCACGTAATCAGCAGTGCCACGTCAGCAACATGACGGGCCTGCCAGGCCAACTGGCSAATGAGACCATTGCCGCCTACAAGCAGCGTTGCCTGGCTCAGATAGAGGCTGAGGAACAACGCCTGTTGGCAGTCGAGGCTGCCCGCGTACAGGCTGAAGAGGCAGCAGCAGCAGAGAAGCTGCGGCTACAGGCCGATGCAGACGCAGATTCCCAGGCTCGCCGAAAGGAAGCCCAGGATCTGCTACAGCGGCATGAAGCCACAAGCATTGACAGACTCAAGTTCTGGCATTTTGAACCGAACGGCGACGAGGCAACACCGGAAGAGCAGCATAAGGAGTTCCTCTCCAAACTCGTGACACGGTTGCTGTATGCTTGCAACTACCAACGGTCAGAGTTGGAGAGACAGTACCAGGACCTGACGCAACAGCATCAGGAGTTAACGACGCTCCGCCGCACAGTGCAGATCCACGAGGATGCAACTCGGGCACTCAATGCCCGATTGCTGGACCTGGAACAGGCTTTACCAGGACCAACTGCTGGGGCTTCCAGCAGTGCACCCTCTAGCTGCCAACTGGAGGAACGCGTTGACCACATCCTGGCAATGCTCGACGACATTAACACCTTCGCTGCGCTGTCCATTATCAGCACTCAGCTGCATACCTTGAAGACCGAGGTCCAACAGCTGCAATCGACGAACGCAGATGGCAATCAGAAGATGCCAACTTTCCAACTGGAAAAGTTCGACGACTACACGCAGCAGGATCCGACCCTCTGGTGGGAGGCATTCACGACGCAACTCAGGATTCTGCCTGTCGCTAAGCACAAGTACATCGGCGCCCTGTTCCTAAACTCAAAGGGCGGATGCCAGACCTGGTTGACCCACCTGGCAACCTCCCACGCCGTCGACGTACCGGACCTCAAGGACAAGATCACATGGGAAGAACTGACACGGCTGTGGAAGAAGCGGTTCATCGTTGACGACGCGCCGACACTCGCCATCAACCGTTTGTTCACCATGTCACAGGGCAACACTTCAACACGGGATTGGCTCACAGAGTGGCAGAAGATTGCGGCAGTGCCCAATATGGACCTGCCTTTCACTCATCTCAGGCGTGAGTTCTACAACAGGTCCTGTGCTGCATTGAGCCAGGCTCTTGGTGATCGCGAGCAGTACGCCACCTTCGCCGAGATTATCGACAAGGCGCGAGAGATCATCAAGACCAACAGGTCAGCTGCACACGAGAAATCAGCATGGCAGCCGACCTTTGTGGAGAAGGTACGAACTGGTCCGCGACAGCAACACTTCGCTGCAGTCCAGCAGGACAGTGGGGATAACCCAACAGCTACTCCAGCATCAAGTGATGGAGATCAGATGGCTGTTGTCCAGCCGCGAAGCACCAACAAGTCCCGCAACAATGGGAAGGCGAAATCTGCATCGCAGGCCGAAAATGGACAGCCAGGACAGTTTCCATGGGTCTTTGGCTTGACCGAGGTGGAGTACAAAGTCCGCGGCCGCTACGGCAGCTGCTATTGGTGCAACAGCACCAAGCACAAGACCTCCCTGTGCCAGGATCAGGGCAAGGAGGATGTGCGACCCCGCCTCAGCTCGGGAAACTGAGCTTCGCGGAAGGTGAGGCGACTCCACCTTCCACTCCGCCAGAATCAGCCGCCTTGCTAGCAGCCTCCTGCACATCTGGGGAGGATGCGAATGTCGCAAGTCCTCGGTATACTTACGAGGATTATGCTGTCCACTTGGTTCCACTGCTGGACCAACCGCTCCACGTGCAACAGTCCACCGCATGCACGGTTTCATCACCATCGGCAACCGATTCGGCAGCTTCGCCGCAATCTATCGCTGGGGGTTCGACGTCATGGTCAAGACTTGATGAGCTCGACCCGTTGACGTTCACAGACTTCCAGTGGATGCCCGTTCCCTCGACCGGGCGATTGTCGAAACCGCATTGCAACGTGCTTATGGCACAATTGCGGGACTACTTGCACACTGCAGTACCAGCTCCGTTGATGGACGCCAGAGTAGAGGTTGTCGATCTTCATGTTTACATCGTGAAGATCGACCGCGAGTTCAAGACGCAACGGTACAACGACATTGACGCACCATTGCTATACGTACGCATTCAGATCGGAGAGGCGACCTGCAGTGCCTTGATCGATTGCGGAGCATCTCGAAACTACATCAGCCAGGACTTCATGGTATGCGCTGGCCTTAGCCCACATGTTCAGAGGAAGTCCCAGCCTACGCAAGTCACTCTAGCAGACGGTCATACGCACAAGTCCATCGACCGGTGCATTGACGCCGTCCCAGTGTACTTTGCCCCTCACGCAAGTGAGGCGGTGTCCTTTGACATTCTGGACACCAAATTCGACATGATCTTGGGCATGTCATGGCTGCGAAGCGAGGATCACCCGGTGAACTTCTTCAACCGCACCGTTCACATTCGTGATCGGAACAGAGTATTAGTTCCATGCACGGTGCCTCTTCCTCATCCTTCGATCAGCTGTCACGTGGTATCCGCCACAAGCATGCGAGCTTCCATCATCATAGACGACATCGAGGAGATGGGGGTGTGTTTTCTCCACGCCCTCCCACCACATGACGCTTCATCGACGGACTCACCTTCGGATCYACGCATCACCAAACTTCTCGACGCCTACAGCGACGTGTTCGAAGGCCCGCACGGAGTAGTACCGGATCGACCCATCCGCCACGAGATCATCCTCGAGGACGGGACCGTACCTCCGCGCAGTTGCATCTACCGAATGAGCGAGGAAGAGTTAAGTGTGCTTCGGGCACAACTCGACGACCTTCTGGAGAAAGGCTGGATTCAGCCTAGCTCATCGCCATACGGTGCTCCTGTTCTCTTCGTCCGGAAGAAAAACAAGGACCTGCGGTTGTGCATCGATTATCGCAAGTTCAATGCGCAGACGATCAGGAACGTCGGCCCTCTCCCACGCATCGACGACCTTCTCGAGCGATTGGGCGGCGCCCAGTTCTTCTCCAAGCTAGATCTCAAGTCAGGGTACCACCAACTCGAGATTCGCAAGGAGGACCGTTACAAGACCACATTCAAGACACGGTATGGGCATTTCGAATGGCTGGTTATGCCATTTGGCCTTACGAATGCCCCAGCCACTTTCCAAGCGGCTATGWCWACGGAGTTCCGACACATGCTGGATCGATACGTACTTATCTATCTCGACGACATCCTGGTATACAGCCGGAGTTTGGAGGAGCATGTGGAACACCTGCGCACCGTTTTGGAGCTGCTATGACAGGCCAACTACAAAGCCAACCGCGACAAGTGTGAATTCGCGCGACAGGAGCTGGAGTACTTGGGCCATTATGTGACGCCGCAAGGCATCCGTCCGCTCGCGGACAAGATCGAGGCCCTACGAGTATGGCCCGAGCCCACCAACACCACGGACGTTCGTTCATTCATAGGATTGGCGGGCTACTATCAGCGATTCATCACCGGATACCTCAGGATTGCTGCACCTATGATGAGGTTACAGTCGCCAAAGGTGACATTCGTATTCGATGACAACGCACGCCGGTCATTCCAAGCACTTAAGACGGCCATGCTCATGGCACCCGTCCTCAGCATCTATGACCCCACCCTGCCGACGAGAGTGACTACGGACGCTTCCGGCTATGGCATTGGGGCAGTCTTGGAACAGCACGACTGACACCCTGTGGAGTATTTCAGCCACAAAGTGCCTCCCATCAACTCGCTTGATGATGCAAGGAAGAAGGAGCTACTCGCGTTCGTCATGGCTCTCAAGCGATGGCGGCACTTCCTCCTTGAGCGTCGTAGGTTCACATGGGTTACGGACAACAATCCATTGACCTACTACAAGACGCAGGATACGGTGAGCAGCACGATCAGACGATAAATGTACTTCATCGACCAGTTTGACTTCACACCGAAACATCTACCCGGCCTCTCAAATCGTGCAGCAGATGCACTCTCGCAAAGACCATATCTTTGCGCTATGACACATCATGCCTTCGCATTCGACGAGGAGCTTCAGCGACACTTCATCCGGGCATATGAGTCTGATCCAGAATTCTCCTCCCTCGACCAGCCGACATCGACGCTGCCTGCTCTCCCGCTTCCGTCCGGAAGTACAGGGAATTGCTGACTCAAGCCCGCGCAAATATGCAAAAGGCTCAAGTCCGCATGCAGCAGTAAGCCAACAGGCGTCGCGTACCATGTCCCATCCGCGCCGGTGATTTGGTTTGGGTCTCCGCGGAAGAGTTTGCACTGGAACATGATGTTTCACTCAAACTGCTTCCCATGTGGTTTCGACCTTGGTCTGTGACAGCAGCCGCGGACGATGAGCCCGATGGCCCTTCATTTGTGATCAACATTCCAGAGCATCTGACGGTCCACCCGGTCTTCCACGCCTCGACGCTGGCAACATACACGCCAGCCAACAGCGACGACTTTCACGACCGACGATCGCAGGACCCTCCTTCTATGGATGGCCATCAGGAAGTTGACCGCGTCATCTCCGATCGCAAGTACGGCAGCAATCCGCGGCAATACAAAGTCACATTCAAAGCATGCAATCGCGAGGACACTCGGTGGATTTCAGGCGCAGATTTGAAAGCATCCGCACCGCTGATCTACGCGCATTATGAAAAGCGCAGGTTAGCTTCGGAAGCTTCACGACCAGCCCCTCCCACCCGGACTGTGGTCCCTCCCTCAGACAGATAGCTTCGCCCTCACAGGTAAGCTCGGTTCTTCAAGGAGGGGGGGGTGCGGCATACTGTGTAGCCACACGGGCCCTGCAGGGCCCGTCCCGGACATTCAGCCTAAAAGCCTAAAACTTAGGGCTTACAGGCCCCGTTCGTTTCAGCCTGGATGCTGAAAAAAACGAGGGCTTGCAGGCCCTACCCCGTTTCAGCCTATTTCTGGGTCTTTTCAGACCCAGAGTTTTCAGCCTGAAACGGGGGGCCATTTTCAGGCCCTCATTGTTTCGACCTGCCCCTAAGACTCAGGCACGTAAACAGGGATGCGGAACAGGCCAGAAATAGCTTGTTCCTCACGAGTTGAGCAGGAGCTGCAGCTGCAGCCCCTGCCTCCCTTCGGCAGGCTCAGGAGGCACACCCGTAGTACATATGAAGTTCCCATGCACTTCACGGGTAGGTAGTGGTCAGCAGGACGAGTAGTCTTCAGGATTTCGGCCGCAGCACTCAGGAGGAGCGCTGCAGTAGTCTTCAGCGCTAGGCAGTAGGTGTTAGCGCTAGATGTAGTCTTCAGCGCTGGGCGACATAGCTGTAGCTGTAGTCTTCAGCGTTGGGCGCTGGTAGGTGGTAGATCGTAGAGTGGAAGAGAGACTGGCGGAGGCCAGTGGGACTTACCTGTGGCGCCATCGCTCCAGCTCCATCTTCGTGGTACCTGCATCAAGGCGCTAACTTCACTGGTTAGTACTGGACACAGAGAGAGAGAGAGAGTTCTTCTTCTTCCTCTTCTAAGTCCACCTTCTCTTCTCACCCTCTCGCCACCTGACTTCTCAGCCTACGACAGAGAGAGACAGAGTTGTGACTTGAGACTTGACAACACTGGATCTAGACTTGACATTTGGGATTCAGACATTTCGACGAGGGACTATTTGGGCTTGTACCGAAGACTTGGTGTTGACGACATTCCCATCTTTCCCCTCCTCTTTGTCTATCCCCTTTCTCCTCGTCTGTGTATGGTATGGGCTGGCGCAGTCTTCCTGTGTGAAGCGCCAGGCCGATCTCACACCAAGTAACGATGATGATGATGTATGTTCAGGGCTGCATTTCAACATTGATTGATCGGATCACTGGTATCTAAGTCTTCCGTTGTGCTATCTTATACTTTGTATTGAAAGGTCGGTTCTTGTTCTGGTCTGCACTTTATAGTATGCAACACTACAGTAACACGGACTCCCATCTCAAATCCATATCTCCACTGTCCGTGTGAACAAGCGCAATATGTCGTAGATACTGCTGACGCTCCCACCGCCCCCTGTAGGTCTCCCACTCCTACAGGAAGCGCCGCTACCGGTAGCGGAGGCGTTTCACGCTGTCCCCATAGGAGACCAGCTACTTCCTGCCCCAAGGTCTTCCCAAGGGGAAACGCCATACGACCATACCGGGCGGAAGCTGATGTCACATCAAAAGAAAGTCTATAACGAAGATGTGTACACCACATGTAGGGTGGCGTCTATAACGAAGATGTGTACACCACATGTAGGGTGGCTAGCAAATGCCGGCGCCTACCTGCTTCATCATCTCGGGATTACCGAGAGTCGTGGTGTAAGGTCTTGCGTTAGCCCCAGATTAGCGCACATTAGCGCACTAAGCGCCGCCATGCGACCGGCCGATCCCCGATACCAATCTCTCAGAACGCCTTTTCCAACTCAGGCCTTGACACAGACGCCTATGCCTGTTTTTTCTGCCCATTACGAACTCCCATGTGACATAAACGTACTTCCCCCCCCAAAAAAGGACAAACGTACTTCCCCCCAAAGAAAAGGGCAGGGGCCAAGTCCCCCCCCGGAAGCGTCAACTTTTTTTTTTTTTTTTTTTTTTTTAGCGTCGATTTTCCTCAACGCCCGAATACGGACTGTTTGTTGAGAGGTGCTGCACATCTCCACAACCACGTCCGGATTCGGGCATTTTGCGTTGAGTAAACTCAACGGCGGCTAGTGGGACTTAACATGATATTGGGCCCCATTCATCATTGGCAACCATAGCATCCTCAGAATCGCCAGCCATAGCATCCTCCGATTCAAGGGGCCCTCGCGAGGTCCCTTGGACTCAAAGAGCCGCGATTGACGGATCGTCGTGGAGTGTGCGTCGACACCGAAAATTGGAGTTGTTCGTGGTCCACAGGTCGTCCATGGTCCATTTGGCGGACAAAATCAGCTTCCGGCAGGCGACAGGCCCCCAACGGCGTTGTGCCGTTACCGTTGGCGCGTTGAGGGTCGGGGGGGTTCTTCCGTCTGCGACGCAGTTCATGTGGCGGGGTTCTCCTTGCCCACGTCGTCGGGCGTGGTGTCCAACAGTTGACTTTTTCGAAATTTATTTTGTCCCTGTCGTGTGAGTACCGCCGACCAACTAATGTTCTCCTCGACATCGTCCATTGCCCAGCATTGACATGCGTGCGGGAAGGATCTCCGATCGGTGCAGATCGACAACTGTTGCGATTCATGCCAGACGTCCTCCGGCGGCTCCCGCTCCTGTTACTCGCCAATCTTCTCCTGCTCCTTGTCGTCTTGTTGCGCGCATGTGTCGCTGTGCGAGGTGCTGGTGGCAGACGGAGATGACAAGTGGCAACGAAGGCGACAATGGAAAGGCGGGATAGCTCCGCCGGACAACAAAGACCGTTGAAAGACGTGCGATTGACTTCTCCATTCATGAGCGGCCGGTGTCGGGCCATCATCCACCCGCATATGACCTCACGTTGTACAGTCATCTCCCGCCGCACGAGCAGCCGCTACCGCCAGATTCGGAAGAGGAATGGGTGGACGATCTGTCCCACACTCTTCCTCTGGGGAACGGATCTACGCAGCACTGGATGGGGAGGCACTACCAGCAAAGGGAAGCAGGGACTAGTCATCAAACGTTCTCGGCAATGGTGGAGGAAGGTATCGACGGCTGGAGTGGGTGCGAACACTTGTGCATCGAACCACGTCGGTGCCGCGACCGTCGGACAAATGTCCGTGAGTCGGGTGGGAGTGGCGGGGTTAGGTGGAAGATCCTCCCGTGTGGGTGGCACGAAAGATGGGTGTCGTCCAACACCCTCCATTTGTGGAGGCGTGGGACCAGGTGGCGATCCGCCGAGGGCACTGTTACCCACCCACTCCACGATGCCTTCACCTGCACTGCGCAAGACGGCGGCCGTACAGGCGCCGAACAGCAGCACTTCTCCACCGGAAGAAATTGGGAGGCAGCGGTGGGAGTCCTGTCGCCAACAGATGCGCCGAGCATCCGCTGATAACATAACGAACTGGGTGTCGAGGATGCGTGTGGGGAGTGATGCCGATGCGGACGACACCCAGAGGGCGAGTGGTGAAGAATCTCCAGATTCCATTGCGAGGAGGAAGCAGAAGATGCGGAAGACTTGGAGATTCGACCTATTGGTGTGCGTGGTGGACGGAGGGGTGGATGAGGACGTCAACAGAAGGCCGCGTCACGTGGTGGTCGTGGATCGAAGGGTCCTGCGGGCGAATAGGGCAGCAAACATCCAGTTGGGAGTGTTGAGGAGATGGTCAAGCTCGCTCGAGCGAAGCGGGATCAGCAAGCTCATTTCGACAGAATGCCGCACAACTACGGCCACATACGCAACAGGGAATGGAAGCAGCACGACCTGCAGAAGCGTTTGGTGGAGGTGGGCCTGAAGAGGACAACCGCCCACATCGGCAAGAAGTGGGATAACCTCTTTTAGCAGTATAATAAGGTGCAACGATACCAGAATGCGTCTGGGGGGGAGAACTTCTTCATCTTGACGCCTACGTTGAGAACAGGAGAGGGCTTCAACTTCTGAATGGATGATGGATCAGCCGCATCAGCGAGTGTACCTTGAGATCGACAAGATGTCTCAACGCAATAAGACCATCTACCCGGATAACCTCGCCGACACAAGCGCTCGGGGAGGAGTGCAGATGTCGGGGGATACTCAACCTCAACCATCCCTTGCAGGAGAATCCGTTGTCGGGGGAGATGTGGGTAATGGCAACGACGAAGATGGAGGGTCGGCACGGGAGTCCGGGTTCAGCGCAGGCAGCATGGGCGGCACTGGCAAGAGAAAGAACATGCGCCAGCAAACGTTTGACGCCATCGCCGAAGTAATGGAGACACACGGTGCATTGATGGCGGACACTGTAGAGGGGCCAAGCAAGTGGCAGTGTAGCATCCTGGAGCGGCAGTGCGACATACTCGAGCGCGAGGTCAACGCTCAGAAGCGGCACTGCGAGGCATCCGACGAGGCGAACTCAATGATGTGCACTGCATTGTTGGAGATCGCTAAAGCAATGAGGGAGAGGTTGTGACGCCTCCTGAAGTCCTGCATTTGTGTACATTCTTCCGCAGGACCCTCCTCATGTGCATGCATGTCGGGGCGCTACATCCCTCGCTCGTTCTCCGTGGGTGCCGTAGTGATGGCGCTGACTCCGCACGTGCACTCGTGAAGGGCGCTGTTGAAGGCACGACGTGCGTGGTTTGACATTTCATGCAGGTTGACGGGAGCGTCGTGTATCATTGCTGGGAGTGGTTACTTTTCTTCGCCACGTGCAGGTGATCGTGTGTGTGTGTATATATATATATATATATATATATATATATAAATATATATATATGTATATATATATACAGGGTTACCTGACCGAACGAACGTTCGGGGGGCCCGGGGCTGGCCCCCAAATGTTCGGGCGTTCGGGGTCCTGTTCGGGGGCCGAACACCTCCAGGTTCAGCACCCGCCAAAAAAAGTTTCGGGACCTAACAATAAGTTTTTTTTCTGAATTTATTTTTGTGCATTCTCTATGATGTAATCTACACGCCTATAAAGTTTGAAGCCATTCTGCTAAGCCAAAAAAAACATTAAAAATCGTCAAAGATGGGGGTGTCAAAACGTGCTCGCCGATACACTATTTTTTTTTTTTTCACTTTTGACTTTTTGTTTTCACTTTATTTCGGGGCCTAAACAATTTTATTATTTTTTGAAACTTTTTTCATGAGTTAGTGATTATGTAGGGTACATCTATATAAATTTTCAGGTCATTTTTCAATGGAAAAAAATAATTAAAAATCGGCAAAGATGGCGGTGTCGAAAAGGTGCTGGCAGACTCACTCATTTTAATTCTCTTTTTATTTTTTTTATTTTTTTATCATAGTGTTTATTTTCTGCATTTGGTTTTTAATTCAAATTTGGTAACGAATTTGGATGTAGTGTCCAGGCAAATGTTGTTTAGTTTATTTTGCTCCATAACATATATAGTTTTTGGAATTTTTTGAAAACTTGTTTGTTTGTTTTTTTTTCTTTTTTTTTCTTGGTCCGCATTAAGCCCGATTAGCCGAACGCCTTCTGAAGGGGTCCCGTACGTTCGGGCGTTCAGGGTCGGGCGTTCGGCCCATCCCGAACGCCGGTAACCCATATATATATATATATATATATATATATATATATATATATCTTCTCTCTCTCTGCCTACGGTTTACCGGGCAGTTCTATTTGTGACGATATATACAGGGTTACCGGCGTTCGGGACGGGCCGAACGCCCGAACGTTTGGGGCCCCCGCTCGACGCGTTCGGATGTTCGGCCGAACGCGGAACCAAAAAAAAAAAAAAAAAAAAAAAAAAATCCAAAAATTCTGAAAAAAAACATATGTCATGAAAAAGAATAAACTAAACAACATTTGCCTCAACAGTACATCCAAATTCCTTACCAAATTTGAAATAAAAATCAAATACGAAAAATAAATAATATTAATGAAAATAAGAAAAAATAAAACGAGAATTAAATTATTGCGTGGGCGAGCAAGTTTTAGACACCGCCATCTTTGGCGATTTTTCATTTTGTTTTGGATCTGTCAAATGCCATGAAATTTTATACATATGTATCTTACATAATAGAGAACCTACAAATAAAGTTTGAAAAAAAATAAAAAAATTCAGGCCCTGAAATAAAGGGAAAACAAAAAGTGAAAAGAGAAAAAAAACAAATTAGTAAGTGGGAAAGCAAGTTTTGACAACACCATCTTTGCCGATTTTTCATTATTGTTTGGCTCCACAGAATGACTTCAAAATTGAGAGACAGATAGCTTACATAACAGAGAACTCGCAAAACTAAAATCAGAAAAAAATAATAATTTTTAGGTACCAAAATAATTTTTTGCAGGGTCCAAACCCCTTCGAGTTCGGGCCCCGTACGGGGACTCGAACGCCCGAACGTTCAGGGGTCAGCTTAGGGGCCTCCGTACGTTCGGCCTGCCAACCCTGTATATATATATATATATCGTCACAAACAGTTATATATATATATATACATATATATATATATATATATACAGTCTGTAGAGTTTTCCATCTGGTGTGGGTGAGTGATAGTCTACTTTGATTTTGGTTAAGGTAGATTATCATTTACAGTGTAATTAGTGAGGGGATTCTGCAAACTGTTGAGGGTTCAGCCTCCTGATGAGTCGGTGAAACTCCGACGATACAGTTTGTCACAACCCCTCGTTTGTTGTCCTCTTTTCTCTCTCTGCCTACGGTTACTAGGCAGTTCTATTTGTGACGATATATACTACGACTTCTCTAGCTTCCTGCTACGGTTTTTTCCGGTCAGGTCGAGCAGCAGTAGTCGGGGCCGTTACTAGGCGGCCATGCTGTGCCTCTAGTGCCAGCGGCGTGTCTGGAGTGTATTTTTTGGCTGTGACAGACCTTTCTTTGTTTCGTGGATGTTCTGCTGGCTTGTGATGGGGTGTGAACCGACAGTCTGTAGAGCTTTCCATCTGGTGTGGGTGAGTGATAGTCTACTTTGATTTTGGTTAAGGTAGATTATCATTTACAGTGTAATCAGTGAGGGGATTCTG